CCCCAAAACCCCAAAACCCCAAAACCCCAAAACCCCTTTTTTGAAACCAATATTGAAAATGGTATGTTTGGTTACTTTTTCACTGTTGCCAAAAAGTTTGGGATCCTGAAACCAACAATTTATAGTTTTGGATTCATCTAAGTTATTTTACATATGTTTATGAATAAGTTAGATAAAATTAGAAACAAAGTAGCGATGTAGAGCTTATAGATCAGATAACAGCTTTTCACCGATATTTTCTCTTCTTTTCTGCTCTCTGAGGCTAAAAATCTCCTTGATTTCATGGATCATAACTTTAAAAATTGGAAAAGAAGCAAGAAAGATTCAAGAGGAGAGGAATACAAAGACTCCATTCCAAGAGGCATTCCTAATGCTAGAGATTACTAAGGAGCCAAAAGCAGAGCCTATACTTCCACAGCCATCATAAATACCACTGATGGTTGCAAGGGCTTTGTCTCTTGGATCCATTTCATTACTTTTCGCTATGTCTGCCGCTGCAGTTGCTGCTACAATATTAAAAACTCCTCCTACAAAGAACCCAACGAAGAATATGGTTATCATAATGTAGCTAGGCTGCAAGATAACTAGCATGAAGAAGGTTGACCCAGCAAGGCATCCAGCAAATGCTATTGGAGCCCTTTTATGATAAATGATGTCACTGAGTTTACCCAAAATTACGCTTCCAATGATAGTTCCGATATCATAAGAGATTGCAAGATATCCAATACCTTTGTGGCTGTAGTGTAATGCCTCATCTGCAAATACTGGGAGCCAAAGAAGGATACCATAGGTAGCAAGCTTTACAAGAGCAATGCATATACCGTAAGGAATTACCTTGGGAATCAGCCAAGCTTTCCAGAAAGAAATTGCCTTTTTCTCAAATTTAGTGTCCTGAGTATGTCTCGAGTTCTGCTTCAGAAAACTATTTGTTGGGCTAGGAGGTTTTAAATGGGATTCTGGTGCTTCCTTGGGGTTTAAAATTATCATTTCAATACTTTGAGAGGACAAATTCTCTCCATTAGCGTCTTTGTAGTCATTAATATTGTTTTTTATTTCCAAATTTCCTTCAACTGCATCAATTTCAATTCCGACAGAGGATGGCTCACTAATCAAAAACATCAGATTTAGTAGCGCTAGGACTCCTATCATAATGGAGATGACTCTAAGAGACCACATCCAGTCCATTCCTCAGTATTCACGTAGGACGTTTACCAAGATTGCTCCTCAGATATTGCCCACATTTTGGCATGTGCACCAGATTCCTAAAACAAGTCCTCTAGATTCCTTTGAAAACCAGTTCGCCATCACAGGAACATAATTAGGCCATCCTATGCTCTGGGAGAAGCCTGAAATTGTAAAGAAAAAAGCATAGTACCAGCAGCTGGTGATTCTCCATTCTCCACCCATTGTGAACATGAAGGTCATGATGCTGACAAGTAAGAATCCAGCTGGCACAATTACTCTTACAGGGTATCTATCTCCAAGATTTCCGCTGATAAAGAGTCCTATTGAGTACGCAATGAGAAAGGAGAAGTCTAAGTATCCAATATTTTGGGTTCCTTCCCATCCAAGACCTGGGGATGACTCAGATTCTATGTCCTTATTTCAGAATTGACCATCCTTCTCTCATCACATGCAGGCCTGCATATGAGACATATGTCAGTGTGAAGATCATTGCTTGATAGAGATGCTTCATGGCTAGCTTTATTATTTAGTTGAAAATTTCAATTTAGAGTAAATTTATGGGGTTTTGGGGTTTTGGGGTTTTGGGGTTTTGGGG